GGGGGATTAGGGAAGTGACAGGGCCAGGAGGGTGTGGGGGCGGTGAGGGACCCCGAGTGGTGTCACAGGAGGGACACGCTGGAGCCCTGTGCAGCCAGGAACGCGGCCCCTGGAGGAAGTGCTTGCCTAAGCACCAGTAACGGGAAAAGGGAATGCTACTTGTAAAAGTGTTTCTTGGGTAGTGTTTTCACTGTCAATCTTCAAACATAGTTCTGGAGAAAGCAGTGTTGTGCGCATTCTTGTTTTCTGGGGGGATAAATGCAGGGTACTGGGGGGAAAATGTCTATTTTTTTTTGTTTCTTTTATTCCATCTTTAATGAGATGCTCCATTTTCTAAAGGGTATGTGACTACTATACTGGAAGATGCAAAAATTTACTCAAGCCATGCTAAGAAATCTAGTGTCGACGCCGATGATGTAAGATTAGCGATCCAGTGTAGGACGGACCAGTCATTTACATCTCCACCTCCAAGAGATGTAAGTAAAGCTATATTTATAATTTCAGAACGTGGTAACAAAACTACAGATGGGAGCGTAACCATGTCTCTTCAGTTCTTGTTAGATATTGCAAGACAGAAAAATCAAACGCCTTTGCCGCTGATAAAGCCTTATTCTGGACCCAGACTTCCACCTGACAGATATTGTCTAACAGCTCCAAACTACAGACTTAAGTCCTTACAGAAGAAGGTAAGGGTGCCGTGTAGCGTTCCGTTTGGATTTGACAAGGCAGCTAATCTTCACGTTGTTCATCAGGAGTGTTCAAGGAAGTTTTTCACACCTCTGTAAGAGATGTGTGCGCAAATGCTGACCTGTGCTCACCAAAAGGTCGTTGGAAACTAAGTCAGTGAGTGGTCTTTGTCTCTTGGAATTTCCAAATATTCCTATTGTTAATAATTTCAAAGGTGAAGCGTATAAGAAAATGGATTTTATGATTCTTTTTAGCTTTACAGCAAAATTCTTCAAGTTTTATGGTAGCTTGTAAAAGGCAAGACTAAGGTTTAGATTTTTAGAGGATATTTTCTACTTCTTATACCTTAGATGTTTTTTTCTGTTTTAGAGGGAAGAGAAAAGATTCACTTTGCTTACTGAAAAATGCTGAATCTCTCCATCTATAATATTTTATCTTTATTTCCCCCATTTAAAGAAGTATTTCAACAGATGAGCCTAAGGTTAGATTCCAGATATTGATATGTCTTAGTCTAGATGTAGAGTAGAAGAGTAAATACTGATTAAAAAGTTCCAGTTATTCTTTTCTGTAAAAATTCATATGATTGTCCTGAACACTGTCTGTCACCTCACGTATCAGTTGATCTTTGACGTTATGTCAAGTCTGTGACCTGCCGAACTACACTCTGTGACAGTTGCCGAGGCTAAGCAATTCATGTATGCTGTACTTCGGTTTATGAAATGTTTAGAGGGGTCAGCATCATATTAAAAAAAAAAAAATGGTTTGATTTCCAGAGTGCAGAGCACTTGGTAAGCAAGAGTGCCCGATTATATACTGCTGATGCTCTTTATTATCGTATGGAAGGGTCTGGTTTTTGTTTTATCTTGTCTTGATGAAGGTCTGTGCATTCCTCATGTGGTTTTGCTTCCACAAGGTACCTTATGGAGTTGTTTGCACCACGAGGAGTTTGAGACCTTCTGCGTTAGAATACGTTGACATAACTTATTATTGCTGTGAAATAAACTGAGGTTTTGTAGGAGGAACCCCTTTTTTTCCCCGTGTTAAGAATTGTTAATTTCTAACACGATGCTAAATTAAATATTCTCTCTTGACAGGTCTCTTCCTCTGCAGGAAGAATAACAGTCCCTCGCTTGAGTGTTGGTGCTGTAAGCAGCAGACCTAGCACGCCTACTTTAGGTAAGAAACAGCTCAGTTGTGGTCTCCCATGTTGATTTTGTGAAATAAAAAAATTTGAGGAGTGTTTATAAACATTTTTCAAACATTTAAGAAATGTTGGGTGCTATCTATCTGAACATAATACCATTGTTAACACTTAACATCTCGATGAAAAAAAAAAAAGTTAATTTCCAAAATTATTTTAACTTTGATATGTTTATATGTTACTGGTCTTCCATATTTTTATTCCTGCATTTCTGTTAACTTCTGCATGTGAAGAGGCCATTCAGAAGCAGAAATAAGTTCAATTTTTTCCCTCAATGTAACCAATATACTGAACTGTTAATAGCAGCAAATGAAATCCGTTTTTCTAAAAAGTTCACAAAATTTGGTCTGAGCATTTACATTTACGTTTATGAGTGTGTGTATTTGTTGCTAGCCTCGCATTTCATTGGTCATGAATAAACGTGCAGCTGCCCCTGAAATCTGACCGATATACATCCCATATTGATGTGTTCCTATTTTTTTTCTTATTTCTTTGAAAATAATAGATTCCGTGTTCAAAGCAAACTTAGGAATGCAAGTTCTTTTGTTTTCTTACAATCCTTTGTCTGGCTTTTAGGTACACCTTCAGCACAAACAGTCTCTGTTTCAACAAAAGTTGGCACTCCAGTGTCACTGACTGGTCAGAGGTTCACCGTACAGATCCCATCTTCTCAGGCAACAGTCAAATCAGGTAAAATAGAAACTATAAAACACCAACTTCTCAGATCAGTGTCACTTTTTTTTGTTGGTCTTTTTAGCAGAACAGAAATTAGTTTATAGTAGTTTATTAGAGTTATTAGTTTATAGTAATAATGTGGGGAAATCATTCCACTTCCTCAGTTGTTAAATATTGCTAGTCTTTACCGTAGTGGCTAATTGCATTTTGTCTCTTACACTCCTGTCTTTGGTCATTCCTGTAACTTCTAGTTTTAATTCATATTTCTAGCACAGTGGTGGTGACAAGAGTATCTAGCGTTTCAAACAGCTTTCCCTTACACCTGACTACCACCTCTGTGCTCGCTCGCTCTCTTGCCTGTTTGCTTGTCCTGCTCCCTTCTCCTGTCTTTTGTTCTTCTGCAATCCCAGTAAAGACATAAGAGTCCGGCAGACAAACAAAAACCTTAAGTTAACTAATGATCTCAAATGGGAAATACAGTAGCATTGCAGATGCCCTGTCGCAGTTAAAGGCTACATAAATATTTATGTGCTTGACTTCTCAGTTTGTGTTATTAACATACTCGGTCTCATCATAGATTTTAAAATTGTTACTGGAAGCAACAATTTGAGGCTGCTGTAAAAAGAGTCTTGGTACCTAAAATTCTAAAATGGTTATTAGATATGACATTAAACTGAACTGGTGCAAAGATTTGTAAGCACAGATAACGCTTGTAAAAAGTGCCTCCAAAAAAGCCTTAGCAGCTGCTGTACTAACAATAATAAAACTTGAGAGAAATTAGGTTTCTATTGTGCTAGTAATGCCTTTGAAGTGTTACAAACAGGAAAAAAAAAGACTTTTGACACACAACATGTGTTTGTTTTCTGATGGTAGGTTATTATATGTAGGTTGTTACGTGTTTCACGAGCTTGAAGTGAGTACTTTTTTGTTAGATTTGTTAGCTCTGTTTCAGTGTGGAGATCAGCTGTCCTTTTTTTTCTATCAGTATATTTAGTGACGTCTTTTTTTCTTTACAGCCACACCAACAACTCCAACAGTTCAGAATGTTCTAATTAATCCTTCATTAATTGGTCCAAAGAACATTCTTATTACTACAAATATGGTGTCATCACAGAATACAGCTAGTGAATCAAATCCCTTGAAAAGGAAGCATGAAGATGATGACGACTACGATAATTTGTGAAGAGACTGTCTGGTCCCCTCCCTTTCTTCAGAGATGTGATTCATATTGAGTCTGCTAGGGTATTTGCTAAATGTTCTTTGTAAACTGTATGATAGGATGGAAATAGTCTGTTAATACGCAGTTGGTTATAGAGTGAGCAAAAGATCGTGGCCCTGTGGAAAGACTAAAAAGCAGCTAATCGTTTTCTGTGGCCTGTAATGGCTTCTAGACCTCAACAGAAATGGTAAGAAACTAGTCACTGTTACACAGGAGTACAGTCTTCACGTCTCTTCTGTCGCCTGTATTTCAAACAGACAGACGTGTTTGTGGCGTTGAAGACTGGTGAGCCAGGTGCTTTTGTAGTACTGTACTGTGCCAAGTAAAAATAATTTTTATAAAGCACTGGGTAATGTAGAATCTAGTATATAGCTACTTAATTTCAAATCACGTTAAAAAAACCAAGAACAGCATCTTTGGTGAGGAGGGAAAGCGCCAGGGACTATCGGCTTTTTTTTTTTTTTCCCCCTCCTCAAATGCATTTACTGCTTCTAGAGTGTTACTTCTGTACTCTGCTCTCCGTATGCAGTATTAATAGGCATGAACATTTGCTCTTACAGTAGAAATACA